GATTGGCGCGTCACCACGTCTGCTCGCGTACGCCCAACTGACCACACATATTTGCTTGTTGTGTCATGATCAAAAAAGACACTCTGACTGTCGTTTCTCAGTAGTGTTCTTTCTCCAGTTGTTGGGGGCTAGACAAGAGGCGTACGTATCGATCACATCGTCTTAACATCAAGACAAAATCATCAAAGAAAGTTTCAGCTATTTTGGAATCGGTTGCGTCCAGCAGCGCCTGTCTTCTCTCAGGTTGTTCCAAGAGCGCAACTTAGAATTTGCCCGGGAGACGAGTCTTCCGGCGAGTAGTCAGGTGGATCTTGAAGCGGGCGCTTACTAGGGTAAGGTCTGTACCGTTCCTGTTTCCAGTTTCTGCGCTGCGATAGGAACGGCAGTCTTCCACCGAAGAGACCCAGCGAGCACATACCAAAATATAATCAATCTGGTGCCGTTCAACCATCATTTGAGTACCGCGTAACCAAGAGTTTTCTGGGGTGCTGAAAACGAGTGTTGGCCACGGCCAGCCGGTTAAGATCAGCAAATGTGGCTAGGCGTTCTCCATTTTCGCAACGTCTACCAAGGCCGAGCTTTCCCAGAATATGCTGAGTATGTTCGTCTGATGGACCAGTGCGTGCATTCCCGTCTCCTGCGATAACGATAATGTCGCGTCTCGGACTGCTGTTCACTGCGTCTTGAGCTTGATTGTAGAAGTTATCTTTAATGTGCTCTTCCACATGTAACGTCGGAGCACATATAGCGATGACAGTCAGGTTAAACGGATTACCCATGGAGCGCTCTATGACAACCCTGGGAGAGATTGGTTCCCAAGAGATCATGGCGTTGTTGACCCGACCGCTCACGGCAATTGCAACCCCGTGCCAACCCGGAGTTGTCACTTAAACCACTGTGGTATAACCGATAGGTTCATTAGTTTTGTGCCACAGTTAGGTAATCGGACATCGGTCAGACAACAGATGTCTACCTTGTAGTTGTGCAGTGATCACATCGTGATACACTGGCTTCCTGTGTCTAGCAATGTTCTAACATTCCAGCAGGCTACATGGATGCTGGACCTGGTGCATAGATGGTTTCGGTTCCTAGCTTGCTCATTTGTCACCCCAGCCACTGGGAGAGTGCAGGGCGCGTCGCTTCCCGGGAACGCCGTACCATGAACGTGATGTACCATTGTAAGATAATCCATGAAGAAACTTGGGAATGAGGTACTAAGTGACGTCCCCAGCATCGCTCGGTTTTTGTTCGAGGGTGCAGCTCTAACTCTTGCACAACCAAGTGCGACCTGCAGGGTAACAGGGCAGAATTGTTGGTAGCCGGTGACCGTGAGAACGGTTTCATACGTTTTTCGGATGGCTCTGCCCCAGTCCAGGATTCCCAACGTGTCCGTGAGGTAGCATTCCTCAGAGTTCGTCCTACTCGTAAGAGTAAGGAAGTACCAATAGCCTTATTTGGTGGCGGGCCACATTCGTACACGTCGCGATGGTGTCAGCAGACACTTATGGCATTTGAACGGGATATCGGTTGCTAGCCGAAAACCCCACCACGTCCTCTAGCATCGCCGCTAATCGTCTGCGACCGATTATTCAGTGTAATAGCCCCACCTATTCACGGTTAACCACCAAGGTGGCTGTTTTCCTACCCGCGACCTGGAGACGCGCTCGGTAGCACTCAGCTGTGCTATCAGTAGACAGTTCATTGCCTACAGGCTGAGGTTGCAATTTTTCGCCTCACCTTGATCCATCATTGATTACATTCGCATCTTCTGTCTCCGCTGTCTTTTGGAGCGCGTGAATTTCATACCTAACATGCGACTGACCAATGGTCGGCTTTCTATTTCAGTTTGATTGTTCACCATGACGCTTGTGCGACTTATTTTTCCCCCGGATCTGTCGGAAATGAATGATAATTTATCTTCTCATTTCGCTTGTCCCCTCTCCCTTCGCCGCGCTTCTTTCGATTGTGTTCAGGTCTCCCGAACCCGAAATCAAAATTCAGATGAAGTAAGTTCACTGAGATGACGCAATTCATCCAACCAACTAATCCTCTTCCATAGACCGTTGCTTCTCGCTTCCGAGCACAGTACAACACGCCAGAATGAAATAGACTACATTGAAGGATCTAGTTTTACACAAAAGTCGTTCTCATCAACCCGGAAGCAACACAAAGTGAGTAAGGGTATGATCCGTGGGCACACATTTTTCCCTTTCTGGTTTTACTATTCCACGTACAATTGTGCTCAAAATTTACCGAGGCTGCTGCCATCTTTCTGTTCCAGTTAAGTGGTAATACTATTGGAGGTGGCAATTTTATCGAGGGTCAATTTGAAGTGCAAGATTCTTGCCTTTTCGAATGCTCAACACGTATTCTTTACTTTTTTTACAAATGCACACTAATCACCAGGCTCCTGATCTTGTACGCTTTTGCGCTCACCATAACTGTGATCTTTCCAAACTTTACTCTGCACCGTGGTCTTAGCCACTGAGAAACGTTCTTCAGTATCCTTTTCTTGGGTTCTTTAAAGACGGTAATCGTTGTGGTAATTTTGTTTCACTCTGTTGTATAAGGTGGCTACAGTAGGGATGTTTTGTAAGCTGTACACCAACGCTTTTAGCGAGGCTATGATTATTGCCGGTTGAAACATCAAGGGGATTGTCTCAGTCATAGTTAAAGGGGTGATAAATTCGTGGTTAGAAAAATGACAACTTTATCAATGTCACGCTCAGTTATGTTCCTGAAAAAGCCACTATCCTGCATACACTTATGCATTTCTTAATTTCTGTTACAGCCGTTTGCTCCGGATTCTGATGCAGCCGTTTCAAACAATTCTACCCCTCTCGGTAGTCAATATGCCTCCTTATTGGCCGAGAAAGCGCATGATGCGGCCATATTTGGTCCACATATCACACCACCACCGTCCACTGTTTTCGGAAGCGACCCGACTGAAGCGAAGGAATGTATCGTCTCATCAGTTGTTACGGTGAAGCAGCTCATTCATCCACGTGTAAGTTTCGACTGTTATTGGTTAATTCTGTCGAGGCGTTCTTTTTCTCTCCATTCTTTTACTTTCTTTTATAAAATAACTAGTGAAACAAGTGTTTTTTAGTAAGAGGGTTAAATGGTCACCAATCAAAAGGCTGCCGTGTTATACAATGAAGAGGAGAAATTTATCGGACGGCGCTCGGGGTTTAGTACACAAACTCCGGGATGATTAGATAGTGACCTTGACCGCTTGATCAGTGATGCCAGCACTTAAGTCGTTTGTTTCACTGGCCCAGTAAATCAAAACCTCTCTACTAACACTCGCGTTGTTACACAACGGTTGCCTTCCAAAAGGTGCTGGGCATTGTGTTCTTTGAAGAAGAGAGTCCAAACGAATGCGTTCAGTCGATAAACTGTGGTAAATAGATTGCGTTGGTTGACTGCGTCGTTTAACCGCGAAACCTTGATCAAATTGTGATCACTTACGGAGCGATCACTTTCTATACTTATTTTGTTGCAACTGGTCCTTGGAATGGATCAGATGGCTTCATGATAATTCAATACAGGAGACATTTCACCTGACTCTTTTTTGAGAACAAAACCCTAGCGTTTGCACAATCAAGTGCGACTGCAGTCAGTGTCTTGGTGCATGACCTCCAGTGCCCCCTGAGAGCTCATTGTTCTTTGGATCGATGTAGATATAGCTCACAGACACTTAAATTCCTGTTAATTTTTATTCATGGTTCTTAGACCGAGCTGTTGATCTCGTCCATTCACTAGAGAGTAACTCTGCTCGTATACTGTACGCCGTCTCACAGAGGNNTTTAAGTCTCTGATGCATGCCTTAGATAGTGGGGGTGGGGGGGGGGCACAAGTGGTGGTGGTGGTGATGGTGCAGCGGTTTAGTCGCCGTAACCGGTGTGTTTTGGATCTTACAGTCTTAGTCTTACAGAGGTTCAAGCCCCCTACCACCACGTGATTTTGGTGGTAGGCAGCTTTTCTGTTGTCCGGTTCAATACTACGCCGAACCTAGCCGGGTCGTATGTGGTTCACCACTCTAATTCTAACTGGACCAAGCTTTCAGACTTTCGTTCAGGAAATCGCAGTTCAAGTCTTAAGACGTATGTCCTGGAGAAGATAAATCAATTGGTCGTGTTTTCACAGACGATTGGTAGACTTGAATCTCGTCGAAGAGAGTCTAAAACCATCTTAAGATTCGAGTACGTTAATTTAAGTCTAAGAAAACCGATTTGCAACGTTCAATTTCTGGTTTTGTTTAAGTTGCGAAAACCTCAGTAGCCTCGTGTGTTTCGAAACCATTCATGGACGCCACCTACACTTCAATCTGCCAAACAATCTAACTTAAACTAGTAGCTTCGCCCTAGAAACTCATTCGGTGGATTCCGGTAAGTTAGGATGAGTGATCGAAATGTGAAAGATCAGTACAATCGGTATGGCCTGGTACACCCAGCTGGTAGAGCGTGCACTGTACAAAAGCGTAGGTGGCACCCACACGTGGGTTCTAATCCCTACGAACTTATCACAAGTGGAACAAAACACTTCAATGGGTTACATAACCTAACTTGAAGGAGACTGCTTCATGGGCACAGGAATGATGATGTGCAAATGGTTGTTTTGGCAGATCTGAAGTTGTTATGTCGATTGTGAAAAGTTCAGTATTCTCGGTGGGATTCGAACCCACGCATGGACGCCACCTACGCTTTGTACGCGCGCACTCTACCAGCTGAGCTACGAGGCCACACCGATAGCAGTGATCTTTTCACATTCAAATTACCCGTCCAACTTACAGAGGCATGTGGGATCCATCAGTTAGCATGTTAGCTGACTGCCCCGACAGGTTTTCCTTCGAATTCACCGGAATCTACCGAATGAGCTTCTAAGACAAGTTTCATTGTGCCAATGGTTGCTGTAAATTGGACGGGTAATTCGAATGTAAAAAGATCATTACTATCGGCGTGGCCTCGTAGCTCAGCTGGTAGAGCGTAGGCGGCGTTCATGCGTGGGTTCGAATCCCACCGAGGATACTGAACTTTTCACAATTGACGTAGCCGGAATGATGATGTCTGACAATATTGTTCCCACTGGTTATCAGTGATTCGTTGAACAACTGTTGGAAGTTCCCATCTATGACCTGGTACTTGTTTGTTGATCCCTTTTGACTCAGTGTTTCTGACTGTGCTCTTCCGTTGAGGTAAATCTTCATCGTAATGGTAGTCACCCCCTATCGCCTCTATTTGTCCTGTACCCTTAATGCGTAAATGTGTTATCCCATTTTTCTTCTTCGTCTCTTGCCGAATCAGTTCACCAAACCGGACGAGACAGCTTGGGCTTCTTGGTTGGTTCGCTTGAGGGACCTGAAAGAGGCGCGAGCTAAACAACTTTCTCTGGATGTGCTAAACAAGCGATCGCCGAACACGATGGGATCGGTCTCATGATGAACTAGCAAAGGAACCTTCCGCACCCAGAAACACCTTGGTTAATCACTGTAACTATGTGTAAATACATCATACACATTTCTTATTTTGTTGTTATTACCTCGCGACAACAACAATGTATCATCCTGTAGCACTGCTTTTGAATCCTTCCAGCGAGCGGATTGATCAGTGGATAGAGACGATTCTTTGGTGTAGTTTATACTTCTTTGCTGTTCGCTAAGGCCGTGATCTGGTGTTGTCATCGTGTAACATGTATGTTATCATTGTCGGACATCTAAGTTATCAAATGGCTATTCAGAACTCGCAGTAATTGACCCCTATAACGAATCCATTCATGTTCACTTCTCCAAACCTGCTATCGCTTTGTGCAACAGGATGGGTTTGAGCATGCTCCATGTGATCGCCGCACTCCAGATCTCCACATTCTTNACTAATACCGTCCACACCTGAAATCATTCTAATATCTTCACCTGACGAAGGCATCCCTTCGGTCAAATCGATACCGTGTGTTCGTAACGCTGTCGTTTTACTAACCGATTCACTGGAGTACCCCCAGTCACTCGAATGACTGAATCGAATTTCTGAGGGTCAGTTTCACTCAAAAGATATAAATTTATACGGGTGTTGATTAAACTTGTGCAAAATCACTCTCATTTTGGAAATACGTTTCAGTTTCCAACAGCATACTTGTATATTGATTGCTATGGGTGAAGTGTATTTATTCCCGGCTTTATCTCCAACTTCCTTGTTCTTAGCTCTCTTCTATCACCGTTTCAATTTGCTGAGACGAACAAATGTGATGAAAGTCAGGGTGTTGCGCGAGTCTGGTCAATACCTATACTCTCTGAGGTTGGGTAATTTTTAGTCAGTATGTGTATACAAATGAGTATTGTAAATTGGCACCTAATTGTATGATGCGATAAAACTATTACTCTTGAATAGAAAAGCCAAAACCACAGGATAGTGCAATGCATCATGGATCATCATTTTGCTGCATCCGTACTCGTGCAAATTTCAGTTTATGTGATCAATAATATACATATGGTCGGAAATTACGCAATAATACGATGATAAAGGTTGTTTTGGAAGTCATTTCACGGAACACATTGATTACCGAGGTGGCGCCAAAGTGATACGCCATTCATGCCGGCAAATCCGCTGGAGAGTGTGTATTTTGCACACTTCTGAAACCAGACTGTGTACCAAACAAATCATCGTACCATAATCTTTATAAAAAGGAGAAAGTTCCATGATTTTTTGTGGGCTGAATACTGTCAGTCTGCCCAGACCAAGGCAGGTGAATTTTCTTGTATAACCCACAACCAGAGCTTTCGGTTAGCCAAAGCCTGACCCGCAAGCTAGCGGAGCGGTGTGTGAAAACTGCAATCTATTGGGGGTCAGTGTCTAGTTCACCGGATCATACACCCTTCGGACGGGATCAAACGTCCAAGGTGCTCAATCGACCCAGTGCCCACTGCCACAATCAATAAAGTGTGGGTGTGTTGTTCATTCACCTGTTCCTGGTTGGTTTAGAATCAGGGTTTTTGGTCAGCTCATTTAGGAGAACTGCCAGTAGTTCATCGACCCGGTTATAGCCGTGGATGTTGGCTTTTCTTCCTCTCACTATGACGAGAGAACACCCGGCACGAAAAGGCAGTGAATAGTGTTTCTCTAGCAGAGGCCATTTAAGTATTTCGTGAGCTAAAAGTGAAACATGACCAGCCGCAATCCAAGACACCTATCCCCTATCATACAGAGGCTTTTGGAGTCGTTGGGATGGTAATTTGTAATGCTTAGTACCTCAGCGTATTTTAGAAGCCTGGTGGTGTTTTGCTTTGTAGAGGATTCTAAAGGTGTCTCTTGGCCTGACAGTGTTGTATAATCGTCCAACTGAGTTCCTCAGGGGTCATCGGTGAAATCATTCTCCCAAAATTGTCCCTCCTCGTTTTCTGACGCCAGACGGATGCTGTGAAATGATCCAGAATGCATTGTGCATACCTGTATTTTTGGCTTCTATATTCAAGTTATTCACTGGGAAACTCTGCTTCCAATTTCTGAAACTAATTTTACTAGGGAACCCTTAAACCGAGTTAATTCGTTATTGTGAGGATCCCATCTACTAGGCAAAACGAGCACAGTTCGAGATTGGTACTCAACGGAAAGGCTGATTACGTGGGTTTATGATCCTATTCGGGACTGAATGCTTGCCAGAGGCTCAGCCTCAATCAGACGGATGTGGAATTATATCGCTTACAGCTTGTCCTCATGTCAGCCAATGTTTTTTCTATTGTCCCACATCATACAACTATTAGCCCTACTCTACCTTACTGGATCAATTTCCCAGGACTCAATGGGCGACAATAAATTTATCACCGGAGAACTTCTTGAATCCTCAATGAAAGCCAGTATCTAATACATTTAGTTGTCTTATCATGTTTCTATCTGTAGATGAGACATGTCAGTTGAATCTCATACCGTTCTGCGATATCATAGACTCTAACTTTCTCCAGATTATCACCTACTTCGTTCTTCATAGTACGCGGATGACTCCATCAATACAGTTCTCAGTCAAATGTTCTCCGTCTATTAAGATCATGCGTCTGAATCATTCATTTCTCAAGCTGAGCTCCTATAGACCTTGTGCTTAATCTCCGTTTTTCGAAATACCAAAATCGCTTCAGTTGTACTAAGTATTACTATTTGTTGAGTATCCGATATTCAAGTTTGATTAATCGTTTTCAATGCCAAATGAGTAGTGCTGACGCATTTTACTGACGGTGGATGAGGTTAAAATTTGATTTTCATTAATACAAAACACCACGTGACTACCTTTTTGAGTGGTATGCGCATGAACATCGCCCACTAAAAATCTGGGGTGCAATGTTGTTTCAACTGCATTCCGTCTTTGTGCTGCTCAATCCGATTCGCGGTGCTAATCTCCGGAATCAATACACGACAAACTGATTGAAGCGTCCCAAATCGTTCATTACAGGTTGCTTTTGTTCTGAATGTGATAAGTTTCCAAAAGGTATTAAAATCTTCTCGAATAAACTAGCCACTACGTTTGTCTTGATTCAAATGGTAATGCAAATGAACGGACGGTTTTCGTCTGTGAGAATGTTTCTGAGTGGACGTATTCATCAGTTGCGACGATCGCAGTGCATACTTCCGCGCAATGCCTTGACGAATTTTCAAAACAAGCGTTCATCTACTAACTACTTGTGAGTAGTAAACTTACACGAGGTACGGTAACGGCGAGTTTGTCCATTGGGGCCCCATATCCCGGGCGAAATGCGGTATTGGAGCAACTATTCTCGGTTGGCTCCTGAGAGAGGATAAGCCGGCTTCACGGATATCAAGTGAATATCCATGAAATTTCTTGGGATTTAGGTACAGGAAATGTCCTCAGCATTACCCGGCTCTGGGTCGAGGTGGAATCTTTAGCCTTTGCTAACTGCAAGGCAGCAGGGAGGTAGCGCATACTTGGCTCTTTGGAGGGGGGGCTCATCCACCATTGATAGTTTCTAGCTGAACAGGAGTCCATGCATCCCTGATAAGTGCGCAGTCACTGCCTTGACTGTTGAATCGTGAAAGTGACTTCGTCCGCCCAACACGTACGTTAGACACCGACTCATCGAGAGTTGAGCTCCCGGTTACCCTCAACCTGGTTTGGCCCGCCTGTCGAGCGCTTTACCGGGGTGTGGCCGCTGTTGCATCCAAACATCTTGTAGTCACAGGTGAGAGCTGAGCGCCTAGTTGAGACCAAAGAATGGAGGATGCTCCAAAGGGGACGACAGTCCTCCAAGTCAGAGGTGCTACTCCTACCGGGTACTCCAAACACGATAATTCGTTTGGTCGGATTAGTTTTGACTCCACTCGGTGATCTCGTTGAGAAAAGCTTTGATTAAGCTTGAAAGTATTCAGTGAGATTTTTTGTAGGCGAATCTAACAAGCTATCGGTGCTCTACTTTATGTTCGGTAGTGGTACAAAGCGTTATAGAAGGTCGTATCCGAGATGAACTCAAATAAGATGAAAAACGTTGTCAGATGAAAGCCACCTTCTATAATCATGTACTTACAAGCAAATGAAGTTAAACTGGACCAAAAAAATGTGAAAACAATTGTTGAAGTAGCTTCCCGAAATCGATGGGAAAGCTGTCTCAAGATTCAACGGAATGCTCATTTATCTCAGCAGGTTTCCTGCTAAAAATAGTGGAATTAATGCTACGAATTCAATGAATGATGCAATAACGAAGACTGTGTAGTTTGTCACATGAATAACAAGCGGCCCCGAGCATACCAAGCAGCCTATATTGAATGCTCCGGTACTGACTTACCTCGATCTGTGTGTGCACAGTTCAAAATTAGTCAGTTTGTCTTGCGTGTGGTGTTTCCTCAAATTGGATTTCTTCTTGTTAATTGTAGTAGAATCGAGGCCGCCTGCTAACAAAGGTATGCTCCGTTTGAGAAAGAACTGTCAGCGATCGTTTTTGTACTGTAGAAGTTGAAGGACCACATTTGGTGGTGCATGGATCACTTAGTCGAGCACTGTGGGTACTACTACCGATGCTAATACGTCCGCAAAAGTATACTTATAAGCTTCCATACGAACAGGGTAACCGCTTTATCTCGAAAGAAACTGTCTAAGACAGTCCATTAGAAAACTCGTAGATCGTGAACATTGTCTTGGGAGTGCGGTTTTGAATGCATGATACCACTATCGTGGACCCGAGCCTGCAGGAACTAGAAGAAGTTGACCAAAAATTAAAAACAGTCTTCCGATTGGTGTATTCGTCTTCTTTTTCAAGTACGAGATGGACTGGACTTATGATAAGCTGAATTGTGGTGGTGATGGTGGTTCGACAAAGCGTTGCCGCATGGTTCTCACGCTCCTATCACTAGATCTCCCAGTCACGCCAGGAAGACATACCACTGGTCGGGCATCCTAGAGCAGTTAGAACAAGTGATTACCAAATACGAGATCTTCAGACATTTGGACC